CCTCACAAAATCTCAACTCAGGGATGTTTAGCTGTAGTCCATTTGTTGTTTATGGACTGTTTACGAAGAAGTCATTATGGGCATACGACATGGGCCGGATGTACACAAGAAAGCATGTAGGTTTCAGTTGCCTCGAGTTATGCCCGTCCACTAACCAGGTTTGTAAAGATGGCCAACAGGATTGGCACATGGTTCAGACATGAGTCGATAGGACGCAGCTTTTATCGGGTAACTGTCAGTCTTCCCCAGTCTAAAGTAGTGCAGACAAACGGCCCGCACGCGATAACAACGTTCGGGACAAAAACAATAGGATGAGCTATTATCCAAAAAGAAGCGAGTTAATTATAACTGGATTTAGGGCAAAATTTCCACTGCCTGTCACCTGAACGTTGTTCGAAAAACACAAAGAATTTAAGTTGTCAAAGCAGCGGGTCTGTCAGTCTCGGAAGCACTACAAATACCGTGACGTCACAAGTTGTATGGTGAACTCAGTAGGCCCCGTGATGTCACATTCCGAGGCATGGGGTTCTGTATTCGGCACAGCACTGCTTGGCTCTATTGTGAACGTTATTGGTTGTTAGGAAGCTTCCTACGTAGATTATATACAGTTTAATCCGCTAAACGACACCCAAATAAGTTTTTGAAACGACATTAGAATACGTGGTATAATGTGTTCAGAGTAAATAAATTAAATTTTTTTACGATAGCCGGCTTCCAGCGTTCCGTGGGCATTGTAGTTCAGATAATCTTGAAGTAAAAAATCAAATAAAAGACGGTCAGGAGACCTAGACGAGCACTCTATAGACCTTCGTCGACTCTGGGATCTTTAAGACAATCACTTATAACGTCGGCGCAGTGTGGAACGCCTCTGTACTGTCAAAACTGGTCACGAGGAATTAACTGATTCTGCTGGAAACGACCCAGCAACTCCAGATCATGATTTATGGATCGTTCCGCCTTTGAATTGGAAAAAAACAGAGGGTGTTACCGAAATTCCAGGACGGTGACTTTCCGACCATTTAATTCAAACGACTTAATCTGTGAACAGGACCCCATTAACTTCTCCAACTGCTGCATATCTATTTCAGAACAATAACTAACTCTACTTTTTCTAACCTTACGCAGGCTGGATTGGGTTAATCGCCTTGAATAATATGCATTCGGACTATAAATAGCTCTCCCATGCTACTTTTTTTCATTGAGAATCTTTCAAACCGCCCGCACGATTCGTCTCAGAAAACATCGATGGCTACTTGGTGCAAACTTACCATCAATTTTTTCTTTACACTCATCTAAAGTTGGGTTTTATAGAGAGGAGTAACCGCTTTTTATTCCGTACGGTCTCTTAAAGTTTAGGATTTTGGAGTTTGGAAATGTTACCTTTGTCTCTATGCCATTTCGGAGATTTAAAAATGCCTTGAATCCACAACGTGTGTCAACACCTTTTTAAACATTAGCAGCCAATTTTGATAGGCCTTCGAATGGAAAAGATTGTCTGGGTAAGGGGGAAGCCTTTTCGAACACCGGGACAATTGCCTTGTTGTCCTGGGCTTTCAAAATTGAGTTAATTATTGGGGGAGGGGGTTACGCCAGCTAAATGTGAGAGGTCATCAGGCCGTCAGAGGTAAGAAACAGCAAAAACGGGAGCAATTATAGGGGTTTACGCTAATCAACTGTCAGTGATGGCCGGGGTCGTCAGAGGCAGGAAATAGCAACAAAAGGGGAGGGGGGGCAATTATAGGGGTGTGCGCCAAGTATCTGTCCGTGACCGACGTATACCCCCCATAATTACCTTTTCCCCCTTTTATTGCTGTGCCTCACCTCTGAAGCTGAATTCCCGTAAGAATTTGAAAGCTCGGGGTAATAAATTTATTGTTCCGGTGCTCGACGAGCCTTCCTCCTTACCCATAAAAACACCTGGAACGTGAACTTTCTCATTCATTAGCGAGGGTTGTCTGGATAAGACTAAAACACAGATTAGCGGGCCTTATGTTGTACCCATCTGTTAACAAATCACCTGTTCTTAAACACTACTACTTCAAAAAGGTATTTTTCGGGTTTAAACTAGTCTCCAATCATGATGGTCGTACAATGCCCATTCACGCAGCACCGTATCTCTATTTTTTATTGATTGTCCTCATGAAGTGTCCAACATAGTCCATATCCATTGCGAAAATGTACGAGCCACGTATGCTATCTTCTTAATAGACTATAGGAATACAGTAGAATCTCGGTTAACTAGTTTAATCCGTCTCGGCACCCAGATCGTCTTGCGAAACGTAGCTGATCAAACTTAATCAGTTTACTGATTGGCTGTAGGCGACAGGAGACCCACGCTTTGAAAGCAAGAGTCAACGGCAGACACAGGCACACAAGCAAACACTGACAACTCGTTAACTGAGCGGAAGCTCGTCAAGTGAAACAAATTTTCTGCGAGTGACTCGCTTTTTACCTGAAGTGGTCGTAGATGGGACTGCTCTTCACTCGAGGCTCCACGGTACAGGATTTTCCTTACGCGCAAAGTATACAGCCTGTTAACTGACGTATGTTTCCTTGCTACCGACTGTTTAAAAATAGAAAGTCAATGATTGGCAATGTACTGGATACGCATCGATCGATTCGATTGCACCATGGTGAAAACTTCTGTCTGTGGGCTGATGACAGCAGAACTGAATTCGAAATCGCGGAGGCGGCGTCAAGGTCAAGATTTAAAATATCTTTGTGAGAGCCCAAAACGAACACATTGTGATGCGTAAATGGGTCAAGGCGGAACGCCCACACACCACTACAATGTTTATTCAACTGACTTTGTGCCTTCGATTCTGAAACCTTGCATATACGCACGAACAGACACGTCAGCTCGTTTCGGGCCAATCAGATTGATAAACGAGGGCCAATCAGTTGTCTAGACGTAATTCCATATAAAGTTGTGCCAGGAATTGCGCCTGCAACGCCGTTCGTTTTCGCGACTGTACGTTTGTGCTTTTTGTTTCTTTTCTCCGATTTTTTAATCTCCGCCCGCCCTCCTGATAATTCGTAACTTTTACACCCCGAGTTCATCGACTTCCCCCCCTATTTCTTTAAAAGGTGTCTTTTAATGTAAAATTTGCTAATTTAGTTGTGAAATATAATATACTAGAAACTGCTATGCATGAGGTCTTACAAATCAGTGAACAATGGTTTTCATTTGGATGCGGAGTCTAATCGCCAATCCATAACCTACATTTCGTGTAAATCGTTGTCAGGGGAATGGAAACACGGGCTTATAGGGTCTTTTGTCAGTTGAGACTATACAACGTACGAGAAGACTGCAAAAAATAGTAAATTGTGGTTGTTTTCGAATTTTATACATTCTGTCACTAAGAACCCAACCGACTTTTTTGTTAGGAGGTTTTGG